GTCGCGGAGGCTCCAGAGGAGCCGCCGTGGGTGAAGGGGGAGTGTTGTGTTCGTGGAGGAGGCGGGCGGGCGCTGGGCTTTTGCGGGAGGGAGATGCGGGGGCGGAGGGAGGCCGGTCCACCTACCCGCGCCCTCAAAACGCGTCTTTGGAGGAGGAAAGAGAGCCCCGCTTGGAACTGCGGCCGGGAGGAGAGGCGACCCAAAGGGGAAACAGGCTGGATCTGGCGAGCCCTGCCCCGGTTCTTCCGTCCCTTCAGCAGAGGGTGGAAAAGAAGCGGGGAGAGATGGATTTCCCAATTAGGACACACAAGCCCCGCACTCTCTTCCTTCGCCTGCTATTTTTATTTATTTATTTTTATTTTTTTTGGGGGGGGGAGACTTCAAGAAGCAACAGAAGGGAGTGGCTGCTGGCACGTTTCCCGCCGACTCTCAGTATTCTTCACCAGGGAAATGGGCCCACACGAGGCATAGTAGGGTGGCCTGGCTGCTCATTCCGTCCCCCCAACTTGGGCCCCGATCCCGCCCGTGCAGCATCGAAAGTCGGGCATTGAAGGAGCAGCCATCCTGCTCTTTCCTCCATCCACATTATCCCTCAACCTTTGGGGGTCAAGGTGGGGACCGGGAGCACCTAACATTTTTCTTACACTGCCCCATGAGTGTGATGGCTGCCCTTCCAAGGGGGATCTCCTTCTTGTCCAGCTCTTCCACCATGCTCCTGGGCGAAAGATGGAACGAGCTGACCCCTTTTGCACGGCTTTACCACTTACTGCTGGTTCAATGTACAATGGACAAACAGAAATTCAGGCTGCAATCCTACACATACTTATCTAGAACTGTACAGAAGCACTGTAAGTCTGAAGCAGTGGCAGGTTCTGAGAATAAAATACTATCAGGACATGAAATTTTATACTAGTAGAAAAAATAGAAGGTTCTTTCTGCAAGGTAAATTTAATAGTTGTTGTGGGTTTTTCGGGCTATTTGGCCATGTTCTGAAGGTTGTTCTTCCTAACATTTCGCCAGTGTCTGTGGCCAGCATCTTCAGTATATGCTTTCAAAACGAAATGTGAAAAGGTGCTTTAAAACTTCATAGCTCCAATGATCTGCCAGATCAATGGCCTATTAAAGTGAGGGCGGCTTTACCACTTACTGCTGGTTCAATGTACAATGGACAAACAGAAATTCAGGCTGCAATCCTACACATACTTATCTAGAACTGTACAGAAGCACTGTAAGTCTGAAGCAGTGGCAGGTTCTGAGAATAAAATACTATCAGGACTTGACATTTTATACTAGTAGAAAAAAAAATAGAAGGTTCTATCTGCGAGGTAAATTTGTAATAGTTTTTGTGGGTTTTTTGGGCTATTTGGCCATGTTCTGAAGGTTGTTCTTCCTAACGTTTCGCCACTCTCTGTGGCCAGCATCTTCAGAGGACAGCACTCTATGCTCTAGTGTAGTTTGCTTGGGAGTGGAGTATTTATGGCTGTGAGATAGG